AATAATAACATAGTTCAATTAAATAACTTTTTAACTTTAACTTTAACTTGTATTGAGAAATACTGTAATCTGTCCCAGTTAATGACATTTATAATAGAGTTCAGAGAACACATTCACATCATACATAGGCAACTTTAAATCCATCTAAAATAAAAGATCTGAAGCAGTTTTTGTCTAAATATGGATTACAGGAGTTTTATGAAAAGTTGCAAGGCAACGATGATGACGAAAGCTATAAATATCTGTAAAATATGTCTATAGAAGAAAATGGTATTTGAAATGTGTGACTTTTGTGGAGAAAAATCCTGTTTATTTTTTTTTTTTTTATTTATTTATTTTTATTTTTTTTTTTTTTACTTTAAACTTCTTATAAAAACGAATTTGTAACATTCTAAAATGTCTATCTCTATTTCATAAAGGTTAATAATTCATTTTCCTCTAATTAATGCTTCGATAATAAAGGTCAAGTGTTCTTTGCTATCCTGAACAGTATTAAAATGGAGTTTTTTTTTGCTATTTTTCTCTTGACAGCTTAATATATATATGAGGAAAGGAATGATAAATCCATATTTTAAATAACTCACAGCTATAAAAGTATTAATTGAGAAGCTTTATAAAAGAAAAATTAACATAAAAAATGCGTTTATAACACAATCAGCAATGTTCGTGGATAATAAACACCAACTAATGCTCTCTACTCACTAATGCTTAGGCAATTAAGAAAATTATCAGAACAAATTAAAGTATGTTGCACTCTTGGCACATAATATTTATGAAGATAACGTTAGAAAGGAAATTGCTTTGCGTTTCTAATCGAATTTCAGCCTCCTCCCATAGGTCAAATCCCAAGCTTTTTTCAGTAAAACTAATAAACACAACTGATTAAAGCTATTAAAAAAAAAAAAGTCTGAAGGGCCAATTATACTTAATGGAAAAGCGCGAGGATTGCTTCCAGTTTTCCAGGAGGTTGGTTCCTCCAGAGAAGAGATTACGCCCAAGTCTTTAACGGTCACGCTCGTTGCTCGGTAGCCGGTGCGTTAAAGAACAAACATCATCTCCGCCAGATTAACACCTCTCCTTAACATCTGTATGATCTGCTCTGCTGGGCTTCCTTCTTCTGTGAAATATAGGCTTTCAGATATCGTATATCTCATTTAATTATCTCATTGAGCAGTGTAAACAAGGGATCTTCCAGTTAATTAGAATTTACTACATCGCATTCCACTTAGATTCGCAAGTCCCTTTCGTCGTTCGAGTTATTGAGAATACTTTGACAAAAGTAGGCTAGGGCGAGGCCTGAGTGAACCTGGGGGCAAGTTGGGCAATGGCCATTACTCACCGGCCGATAAAAGCTGACCGGGTCCGAGTCGACGCCCATTGATTTTTGTTTTAATAAACCTTGCGGTTGTGGTCACAACACATCAATTGTATATCATTATTTGTAAGAAACATTTGTTAAACATAATATGTAATAGTTGTACAGTTATCAACGACATATCATTCTAAGGCAATGATGTAAATCGAATTTCATTCATAGCATTTTGCCCTTAGAGTAAACTCTGAACATTATATCTCATTTATTTGTTATCAATGTACAACCTCAGTTTGTTGTAACGGAGAAAGTTCTTGGAGAATTTAATTCATCAATTAAGAGTTCCTGTTTACTGAAATTTGTAATGCTATCTAACTATAATAAAAAAAAAATTATACTCATAAGAAATACGTCACTTATTTCCACAAAGAAACCAATTAAGTATTTTGAAAATCGAGAAAAGTATTAATTCCAATTTAAAAACCCAGAATCAATCCAATATTGCTATTATATTTTACGAACCAAAAAATTAATTAAATTGGTGTGAAAATAAGTTTTGTCTTCTAGAAAAATAAAAATAAAAATGATTCCAATCCATCAGATAAAATTAGATTCCTACATTTCATTATTTTACTTGAAGAGCTCGACTTGAGAAGCTGTCGAGGAATAGACAACCCTCTTAACTGAGGGGTGTGTTGCCGTAATTTTGGCTCTTAGGGGCAAATTACCTCGCGAATAGTAGAGAAAATTGCTTAACCGATCTTTTTTTTTACTGTTTTTTTTCTTCCTCTTTTTCTTCTAAACGACGAATTACCTGCTTCGTTCTGACGTGGGAAAATAACACTGTAAGTCCTAGCTCTTTATTATGAGCATTTATAAAATTTATGAAAGCTCTTCATAGCTGTAATTGATTCATCTGGTCTCCCTAATTAAGAAATATGAGATTTCTAAAAATAAAAAGGTGTCTACATATATTGATGACATATCTCTAGTTTTCTCTTCCCGAGATTATTGGAACTCCAATCAGATCCAATCGTAAAAAAGAAAACAAATTTCTTTCTTAAAAAAAAAATCCTAACGACCTCAACTGATAAAAACAACCGCCGTCCTTGTTTGACTAAATAGCCAATAATTATAACATTGCAAAGTACATATAATTATCAATGCATCGGAAGACAGGTTTTTTATCTCGGTTTCTTTTTTTTTTTTCTTAACAGAGAAAGTTCATTTAACTGAGTAAAAGTTGGGAGCTAGCTTGAGAAGTGGGTCGATCTCTGCAGACTGACCTTTCCTGGTACCGATCCTTATGCCGGAAGGCACGACTTGCAGGGTCCAAGTTGAAGTTCATTCCGGATTAACTAAAGCCCAATAAACTTTATTTTCTAACTTGAACTTGAATGAAAGAAATTAGTAGATATTTCCTGTTCGATTGCCCACTAAAAATTACTGTAGTAAACAAAATTCATATAATATTTCGAAGCAGCTTAAATAAAACAAAAATCAATAGAGAATGATTGACATTTAATAATTTAAGAATAATTATGAATAAAACAAGTTTAAGTATTTATTATAATAATTTAATAGTAGTATACCTCAGTAAGAATTCTCACATTAGATAGGTGTTCTTTTCCTAACGCATTTGACATGTAATTAGTGATATCAGCCAAATGATTATCAAGATAGTCTATTTAATTTACACAATCGGTGTAGCTTCATGATCTACCACGACAGTAAGAATGTAAATGTCAATTTTTTTAATAAGAGAATAGCTTGTCACATTTTAAAATATCCCTCCTGTATAATACTTAAGTACTAAAACATTCACATCCCTGGAATTTTTTTTTTTTTTTTTAAATTATCCGAAAGTTATTTTGTATGTAATCCGAATAGCCAATGGAGCGAAGAGCTATCCTCTACCGACCTATCCAATAGATTTTTTTTTTGAACAGTAAATATTACAATTAAAGGGCAACAAGCAATAAGGCTAAATGTGTTCATCCATGCCATATATACATATAATATAGAAATAAAAAAAAATAAATGAATTAATAATAATAAATGAGTAAACTAAGAAAAAAGTATATATAAAAATAGAACAACATACATAAATAATACATAAGCGTAAAGAATAAGAAATAAATAAATAAGTAAAAATAATATAAATCTTCTTAGAACATTCATTCCTACGAACAATATTTACATTCGCCCAGGGAACTCCGAGCCAAGTAGCTTTGTCCTCCAGAAGTGAAAGGCAAAGCAGGACTCTAGGAGATCCCAATGCCTCTCTTCCAGCCGCGTCACTGGTAAGACAGTGAAGACTGAAGGAGGGCACTAGAGCCACAGATGCTCCGGACATGAGTGGAAAAGCTGGCCATTGCCAGGACTCCAGACGCATAATTACAAGAGATCTCGTGGTGACTGCCGTTTTAACCTTCGAGGAGGATTGTAGGGATTATGGGAACAGGATATGGATTGAGCTCCAGGATCTGGATGATGAATAAGGTTCTGGTGAAAGTTGGAGAATCTGGATGGGATGATGTCGAAGACAAATGGGATGTTAAGATCACGGTGTAAGGTTTTGTTTGTGACATAATATGGGACATTGATTATTGTTCTAAGTACTTTGGACTGGAAGGATTGGATGCGTTTGATATTCGAATGTTTAGCAGTTCCCCACAGCTCAAATCCGTAGGTCCAGATAGGCTTCAGTATGATCTTGTAGATTGAAAGTTTATTTTAATATATAGCTGGTCATATCGTCGGTTAAGTTCTTGTCTTTGAAGTCTGATGTGTGGATTCCAAGTTAGTCTTTTGTCTAGAAGGAAGCCAAGGTAACGGACTGTATCTGAGTAGGGAAGGAGTATTGAATTAAAAAGGATTAGCGGACAAACACTATCATATGTAGCCAATATTTTATTTTTTAAAACTCAAGCATGTCAAAGTACCCAATGTCAACCTTTTTGTCTCTTTCAACAAGAATTATGGCGAATTTAGAAAACGGTGTATTTAGGGCTTTAAAACTCAGGAGCCGGTGTAGTTCCTTTGGTGTATACACGCTTTAAAGTTCTTTATTAGTGTTACTCAAATTTAAGACCAAGAAGAGTCTTGATCGTTCGTACTTAGTCCTGATCTGGGCCTTTGTCTTGCGCAAGAGTCTCGCAACAGTCTTGCAGTTACCTCTTAGCTTATTACTATAGAGATATTACTGTATTTTTTTAGATAGTAAGAATCTACTTAAGCCCGAATGAATAATTAGAAGGGTTAAATACAAATGTATATTGGTTATACCAATTCTTTACATATATTAATTATAATTGTGAACTTTTAGTAACTATTTTGCCTTAATTTTTATTAAAAAATCGATCTCATTTCCAGTTTTAGTCTTGGTCTTGTAAAAGTTAGGTGGTCTTTGTCTTACAAAGTGAATCTGCAATAGTTTGCATTGTAATGTTATGCCAACTATTGGAGTTTTAAAACTATACATTTTTTCAATAATTTTTAGAAAAGTTGTAGAAATTTAAGGAACGAAATTGTGATTCGTCACTTCTCCATGAAATTCTGTTTTGTTTCAATATTCTCCTGGGAGTCTGGGTATGGATCTATAGTACCTTTCTATCCTACTCCTCCAAATTATAAAAAAAAAAAAAATAATATAAATAAGAATGAGGCATGAGAAACCGTTTTCCACCAGATCAGAACTTTCCTGCTTAGATGAGAACCGACTGAGAGACGCAGCGACCGCAAGAGGTACCATGCCACCAGAGGGTGAAAGTAGTCCATCTGGATCCTTATGACTCTCAAGTGGGACAGCCGCGGGATCTGGAACGGGCCTCCCAGGACAGCCGATCCAACCCGTCATAATTAACAGCCAATTCGTGCTTTCTCTGCTCAATTAACCCAACAGCCAGAAGATGCAGATCTTTTCTACCAGCCCTGTTAATTGCATAGTTATTGAAACCGTGTTCGAATCCTCGTTAATAATATGCTGATTGAAAAAAAAGTTCGTACGTATCTAATGTTATCGCACGAATGTATAAGTTTCTCTCATATCTTCGTCAAGTAAAAAATTTGTTATATACATGAAAACATGGTGTGGTTAGATTTACTAAGTATTTACTCACCATAAAGCATTAATACAATAATTCAATCATTCATGCGGTACAGATCCCTTTTTAACAAATTATTAACATCCTCACGAAACTTCGTGAATGACTTCATCCTATCACAACCTACAAAACTTTCATCTACGAAAATCCTCTGAAATTGTGCGTTTTCACAAATTAATTAATTACTTTTAACGGGATAGAGATCAGGCCAAACGGCTTGATATTTTTGTAAGCTACCTTTTTTTTCTCGATTTAATAATCAAATTATCTTACGATTCGAGTGGAAAACAAGTGGGTATTCATGAGTTTTTAGCACCTAATTAAATAGACAATGTTTACCCATCCAGATTCAAAACGCCCCAATTCCGAAATTTTCAGTTAGTAAAAAAGTTGTAATAATTTTACCACGTGATAACACTATACTGAGCAGATCTGCACTAAATCAATGTACGATCAATGTTCAGTTGTGCCATCACCTGACACACACTTCCCAGACTATTTATTTTATTTTTTTGTACATATGGTGTGAATGTCATCCTACCTCACTATAACCAATGTCCAACAGACAGATTGTTATAATACTCAATAAAGAAATTAAAAAAAAAAATAATTTTACAGAAAGGGGTCTGTATCATGGACTATCAATGATTATTTATTCCGCCTCAAATTAAATAAATCGATTCAACCATTCAATATACTGTGAAAATTAAATATTATAAAAGATATTTTATTTATATTATATTTTATTTTTTGAATAATTAAAAATAATTATTATATAATTAAAAATTATTATTAAAATTAATTTCAACTATCAATTACTAAATAAATTAAACCGATTAATTAAAATACAGTAATTAAATCTCATTAGTTTGTAATAATTAAAAACTACTTTTTCTAAGATTTCTAACATATTCAGGGTTACATATCGATTATTATGTCTTCTGTTCTTCTGTCGATTCTTATTTTTCCTTATTCTTATTTTATTACATTAACAAATTTGGGCAGTGGATTATACGGTGTTATACAGAGATAGTTGTTCACGTTAAACTGGCTCGATATCGCAGGGGTTATCAGAAGGTGGTTGCATGGCACAACTTGCACTATCAAAATGTTTGATTGGGGCACATTTTTATGGCCTTTTGTTTTTTTGATGGGCTTATGATTTTTTTATTAGGTTAAATTTGGAAAAACTTTTCAACCAGAGGGAGGGACGGGTTTTCAAGCGTGAAAGCATGGAACAGAAGTCTATAGTATATCTTAACTACAATTTTCCTAATTATACTTTGTCTGTACTATGTTAAAACAAGAGAGCAATAAAATTTGTTGGTAAAAGAGGCATGCGTCATAAACCTCGGTGATGGGAATCCCTGCAATTAATATAAAATTATGCTGCGCAAAACTTAACCCTTCCTGAAGTAAAATATACCGCAACGTAGAAGGAAAATAATGAAATTAAAAGTGTGTTAGTGGATCTGATTGGAAAAAGTGCATTATATACGGCTTGGTCAGTTTGAGTCTGTGATTCTACAAAGCAGGGTTTTGGTGGGAAGCTACTTGCTATGCCGGGTTTGTAAAATAATCAATGCCGCACAGTATTCTAAAAACTTAACTGAATAAGACGCGAGTTAAGAACTGAATGAGGTAAGGGGCGGGGTGACCGAACGGGCTAACGCGTTTGCACTGCACCGCGCGTTGTCCGGCAACCTGATGACCGCAAAAGGAGACATTAAAATAATTATGAGTTTGAACCTTGGAGGCCGGTGGAGTATTTAACTCTGGAATTAATCCTCTCCCTCGCCCTCTGGTCCGGGAAACACCCATATAGCTTAAAAAGGCGAAGTAGGAGAGAAAACAAATTGAATGAGGTAGTGATGGCCGATCATGTCAAAGAGTTAACATTCTCGAGTCTAGCAACGTCGGCTCGAACCCGCCTTGGACGGGTTGTAATTTATTTCACGGCAGACCTACGGAACAAATCTCGATCTTCTCACTTTGGTTAGAATAGGTTTAGTTGTACTTCTAGAACAAAAAAAAAAAGTTAAGAATTTATTAAAGATTGGTCTTCCCCGGATGTGTGCGTGGATTATGTCATATACTACTACAAAAAACACTTGACATTATTTCGACTTGGTAGCAGTCATTGCAGCTATGATAATAAAATCTCTATAAAACATTTGTATTTTACGATTTACAGTGGTACAATGATCAATCGCAGTCACATCGGCTTCGACCTGGGCGTTACATGCGTTGCGTAAACAGTTAATAAACACCAGGCGACCCAGCACGCAATCCAACGTAAACTGCTGAACTGAAACTTTAAACCATTTTAATTAACAGGGTACCACGGGAATTAGATAAACTTTCCAAGTATGCAAACAAATGGGCGTGCAAGGACTGGTATATTGGTGCCAGGTTGACATGTTGAGTCAATAACTATAAACCAAGCGGAACATTATTGCTCAGCCTCAATTCAGAGAGAACAGCCTCACTCCTAAAGAACTTGCAAATTTCCTGATTGTATTTGCGAATTAATTAACTTTATTTATTACGCAAATATACGATGCTTCCTGCAAATATTTCACAGTGATTTAACTGCAACATAAAGTGATCTCTCGCTGACAGACAAAATAATCATAGTTGGGTAAAATCTTAAATATTTCTTGAACGGATCACCTAAATTCTTGAAGAAAATTTTAAGCAGTTAACTGGATTCGTATTTTCGCTACTTATCAATGTTAACTAGATTGAAATACTCCAGATCATAAGGAAAAAAAACTTTTTATTAGTCATACAATTTTCGTTTTATTATTTTCAAGAATGAACCTTTGCAACCAACCAAGACAAATAAATTTAACCACTCTCCTCCACGAAATTTCAGATTTTACGTTTCAAGGTAGATAGAATTCGAAAATCGAATTTAAAAGCTCTGTCCGTCCGGCATACAAGGTCCGCGGCTTTTCTCAGAAAATACTGGGTGGATTATTTTGAAATTTGTTATCAATGTCAGAGGTCATCTAAAAATGTCCGCCCTTTCCATACTTTACTTGTTCATACTTCCCTGAAAAGAAGCTGGAAAAAAGCTACAAGAAAAACAAAATTAGATTTACGAATTACTCAAACTAGCTATACATGAAAATTCTTAATATTTAAAAGATAAAATGTATTAATAGTTTTATTGTTGTTGTTTATGTATTCTATTAACAATTTAAGATTTTATATTGATGCTTGCATTTTCAAAATGCCGAAGTTTTGATAAAAAATAAAATCCAATGTGATTTAGTTTTTACAAAATGGCAAAAATTTAGTTTTAACTTTATTCAACTGAATTCTTTAAATGAATACTTTAATGTTAATTTAATTTAAATGACAGTGTTACAGCGAAAAAACATAAGTGGAAACACATTTTAAACTAAATATTACACAACAAAGTGAAAGAAAAAACAATAACATATTTCTTGGAAAGAAGTTTTGAAACTGAAAACACTTTTTCATTAAACAAGATGTTTAGTACCTAATACATCATTCAGTCCAAAGGATTCAAGAAGGTTGTGAAAATAAAGGTAGTATGTTTAAATTAAATGAATTATATTCATTTTTTTTTTTGCATTATTTAAACCTTTTGATTTTTACGAAATATGATTTGTCAGTTATACTTAACTATTTTATAATATTTATAATATAGCATAACAAATAAAAAATAGTAGTGTTTATAATACAGAGGTAGACTTCATTTGTATGGGGTTCTTCCCTCAAAACAAATAAAGATTAAATAAAAAAATATATACGTAAGCTCACGAAATTTCGAAACAAATAAAAAAAATAATCATCGAAATCAGACGTTTTGGTATAGAGATATAGTGTTCTGAGTATTTAACAAAGATTCTACTGGAACGCTAATCTCCATTGTTTTGGTTTTTGATTACTGAACATCAACTGACATATTGGTTCTACAGTTTTACATCAACTAAAGTAATCGAGTCTGGAAATGAAAAAAAAAAATTGTAAGCATACCAAAATTAACAAACACCTTTCATTTATTTTCTCCGACGTGGTAAAGAATGTAGCGTTACATTTGATATATAAATATTTAGAAATAATAATTTGCAGCATTTTTTTTTTGCAATAAACGATTTATTGCAGTTCATCCCACAGAGTATCAAAATATTCCCAGAAAACATCCTTGTATAGGTAAAATGTTCTTCAAGAGGAATCCAGAGAAGGAAATGACTTATCTGGGCGATGGAAACTGATGACGTGTAAAATAAGAGCTTGTAGAAGAAGAGTAGGGTGGGAAAGCGGTTGATTTGTGTTGCGAGCCTTTTAACTAATTTAAACTCCTAGCTCCTCTGCAATGACAGGGCCGTGCAATCTCCTTATCAGATTCATTCTGCCTCTCTTCAACATCAGGCTCACTAAAACCTTCTATTATTCTCCTACTTCTCTGAGGACCGTTGAAAGGTTTTGAGGACTTGATTAGGAAGTGCAGTAGTCGTATACCAGAACCGATTTCGACAGTAAATCGACTTTTGGCATATTTTCATCGAATTTTCAAACGATACTTCCGATCTATACGTGGGCGGGGTGGCCGAATGGGCTAACCCGTGTGCACAGCACCACTGTTGCCCGGCAACCTGATTTATGACAAATGTTATAAAAATAATCACGAGTTCGCGTCCCGGTGCCAAGGCGTATTTTAAATCCCCACCCACACCCCCTGGCTCTGGAAAACCCCGTATAGCCTTAACGGCAAGGA